AGAAATCTGACTTTTTCCTGATGATACGGTCTGCAATCTCGGGAGTGTGGATATTGTTTGTGGCCACAATTTGGATAACTTGCATGTATCTAATTCGTAACACAGATGGTTGCAAACGCAGGGATCGTCCTACACAGTGGGTTCCTTGAATGTAGGTTTGTATTATTGATTCCTGTATATATGGGCTCATGAATGGCTCTTTCACACTAGTTTCTGTTGAGAAATTGGACGCCACTCTTGCTGTGAATGTTTGCGGAGTTTTCCTCTGTCTCAAGCAGGCAGCTCTGCAAATGGTGAAGCAAGGACGTGGTGGAAGGTTGTGTCAGGAAAAAGTCAAAATCTATATATAATCTTATAGTTATTATAAAGTGCAATATGTTTAATATATAGAATATATAGTAATTATCTGTATTTAACTCTATTATAAGGTAAAAATCAGTCTTATATGTTCTTATAAAGGCTCTATCAGTATTATTCATTAATATAATATGGTAAATATATTTTAATAGTCTTATATAAAGAGTAAAAGTATTATAATAGTATTATATTTGAAGAGAAAGACTTATATCTATTATATAATATAATAATAAGACATTTTCTATACTTATAATCTGTATGAAAGTTTTATAAATGTTTATAATAAGTAGGAGTTCTTTTTGTAAGATTACAAGCTTAATAAATATCTTAATTATCATTATAATGATTATTTTTCATAAAGGAACTATCAGTAAATACAACTCAACTTATGTAATGCTCGAGTATCACATGAAATTTTGTACTTAAAACATTTATGATGCACATTGCATTTCACTCCTTGCCTCTGACCCCCATCTCCTGTATCTCTCTGCCCTGCCACTATGTTGTTGCTTTTGTTCTCTCCACTCTCTAGTTCAGTCAACTCACTCACAAGTGTCCTCCAGCACACTCTGGCTCTGTGCTTTCCTCTCCAATCTGTCATTGTAATGCCTGTACTGAGTCTCAGATCCTGTGTCAATGCCACCCAGCTGACTACTCTGTCCTTCAACATAAAGTGTAAGCAGCCAGTCCACTTCCTTCATAATAACCTGTACAATAGTTGCTCTTCCCTCTCATCCCAACTTCTTGTCTCCCTCTGCTGCCCTTGTATTCTTGTACTGTCTCTCCTTCATTGTCTGCCTTTTCTCCTTTGTCTTCCTTTTTGCATTTGCATTCACACATGCTACATTGTTGACCAATGCTGAACAATGTCTTCAGTAATTCATGTATGTCTTCCTACTCTGTAGTGCAAGTAACAATCAACAAGCACACACTCACAACAATGTTCACATACAACCACTCCCAAGGTGCAATCCCCTCTCTGACCCCATGCACACTCTCCTTCCCCACCTATCATTCCATGCTTGACATCACCCTTGATGGGCCCACACTGTATGCATTCAAATTCCCAAGTGCTGTCCATGAATCACAGAAACAGTGGCCTACTACTCACCCCTCTTAAGCCAAGTCTGTCCACACCTTCCACTTTACCCTCTCCCTTTGAGCCAGACGTCCAAGAGATACACCTTTGCAGTCATCTGCAGCAATGACTCGGTTCACTACACCTCCCTTTTTGAGACATAGTCAGAGCATACAACACACACACACAGATACAGCTTTGCCTGCAGCTCAAATCAGCTTGTTCAACACTACAGATCTCAACCCTGGTGCACCTCTCTTCCTTGCCACACAGTCACAGTGCATCTATCTCTTCTCTTCAAGTATCCACATACCCTAACAATCCCCCTCCTAGCAAGTTGTCCTCCCAACCTGTCTCACAAGCACAACCTCTGCAATCTGTGAAACCTTACAACACTCACTGTACACACACACAATTCAACTTGCAGGGCCGAGCAACAACCCAAGTGTAGTGACAAAGACTACATTGTTTGGCCTGCAATGCATTCCTCCTTTGTGTTGCAAATGTTGTTTACAAAAGAACAAGGCAGTGGCTGTAGTTATCACAAAAGGCAATCCTGTTACACAATGTCAACATTAAGCCAACCTATCCAGGACAATCTCAAATCAATTGTGTTTGCTTTCTGTGGAGGAATGTAAATACTAGGACAATCTCACAAAGTAGTGGAAGAAAGGCACAAGGAGGTGTAGTCTTGAGCATAAGTAGTTCTCTTTTGTTAATATGTAGTTTTTGTGTGTATTAGCTACAAATATATATATATATATATTATTTAATATATTTATATTATATTATAATGAATTAAAATATTAGATAAAACTGTAAATAGCTTATAATGTCATATAATATGTTATTTGACTTATAGAAAGTGACAAGTAAAATAGTATCTTATCAGTTTGGGGAAAGCAGTATAAGCTCTTATACATCTTCATAATATGTATTTATCTTACACTTATATTATAATAACATATAATTCTTATTACTTTCCATAATATTAATCTGACTTATTTAACCTTATTGTATCTTAGATAACATTTTCTGAGTCAGCTGAGGGAAAGCAGTATATGATGTTTTACATATTATTAATATTTTACATATTATATACTCATATAAGATTAAAAATGACTGGTACCTTTTTCCTGACATGATAGGTTTGCCATCCACACCTAAGACATTGTATGTATATTCTGTACTGACTGTATCATTCCAAGCTGCAAGTTTGGTTATGGGCAAGCAAGGTATGAAGAATTCCTTTCTGTCCTACTCTCCCCTCTACTCAAAATTATTTAGGTGGGACAGATTTATCAGCTTATTCAGCTTCGAAATTTGTCAGGAAAAAGTCTTAATTATTATATACTCTTATATGTATATATAATATGTAAAAAAAACAATATTATCCATAATAACATTTATTACACCCCTCATTAGATAAGATATATAAAAGATACTGTTAACATTTATTTCAGATAAATGCATCATATGTCTCAAATCACACAAACGTCTTACAAATATACACTATTGCTGAGACATGTCTTCTGAGACATACATCCAAGACATACAATATTAGATAGCATATATATTACTTCAATCTAAGGACAATGAAGCTCATTAAGAACTTACACACAGTCAACTCATATTAACACCTATGCACTATGAGCAGAGTCCACTGAACCCCTACTAGTGTGACTTACTCTTAGTATCCTTGTGAGTAGCACACAAACCTACAGAAGAATGTTTCCTATTGATTAGGAAACATTGTGACCTCAACACACTAACAGGTTATGAGCCTTGTGCTCCCTGCTCATATCTACATTGTTACTATGCTTTTACCTTACCCTCTACAAATGCAATGCTTCGAAATCATTGTCTTTGCAATTATGATTTCCCCCTTAGTGGTTATATGCATGACTATATACACTACAATCGTCATCTTGAACACTTCAGTGTACTATACACTATAGTACAAATGATTTGATACACTCAATCATATTATACTCAATAAGTATCATCAAACTACTCTATTTAATGCTGAATCCACTTGATTCTACACATACAATCTATTCTACTTGTCTACAAACCTTTGGCACTCTTATCTGAGTATACTAAATGCAAATTGTCTTGTCCTGAAAACTACAATCTCTCTATACAACAAGACATACTATGATACTCATAACTGGAACATACTACAAGGACCTAGACACACCTGTCTGAGCATCCCAAACGTGCATTGATTTATTAAAATAACTTCAGACAGATTAGTTGCTTTAAATACAATGAGTACCCAGCAATACTATATTCAAACACTGAACTACTTTATCTTACACTATAGAGATACATTATAATAATAACATCTCACATAACAAACGAACATTTAATATTATATTAATAATATAAAGAAATACTATTGCAAACATATAATCAATCTAATAATGATTAGACAAACGAATAATACGAAAACAAGAGTATAAATGTGACTAAAGCATAATAACTCAAATATAAAAACAATTTATACTATCACAAACACACAGTCACAATAAATAACATATATTTACCAAATACAAATATATTGTATAGATATACAAACGTATACAATGAAATAATAAAGCATATTGCATAGATATACGAATATACAAACGTACAAAATAATAATAATGTATTCAAATGCATAAAACTATTAATTATTAAATAACACAAAGTTATATGCAAATGCAATTGAACAAACACATAATAACAATAAAAACAATTAATAAAACATACAAAACAATGTTGCAAACATTCGAAACATATAAAAACAAACATATATACTTATACAAAGTATTAAATTAAGTTAAACCATAACATTACAAACGAAGAAACAATATAATGATGCATATATGCATAATATCAACATTATAAACTATACAGACAAATACATATCTTATACCTCACACAATTACTATTATAATGCAAAAATTGGACAAACAATAGTTACGAATACACTGTAACAATATTATGTATACCAATCATAAGATATACATGATAACAAAGTATTAAGTTGATACAATTAATACAAACAGTTTAAACAATATAAACATATTTTAGACACATTGAAAATATTATTAACATACAAAATGTTATAAACAATTAAATGTCACTTAAAAACTTGACAAAATACAATAATACAGACGTAAACAAAACAACTAATGCTACAAAACATTAGAGCCTAACATTGGATAGTCTAAAGGGCCAAGCAACAGAAAGAACACTGCTGCCAAGTACACAAAAGACAGATGCACACCAGAATGCAACCCAAAAGAAACAGGATAAGCTTGGGTGTTCTGGAAACTTGATCAGACACTTCACATATAATTAAACATTTACAATGTATGACAGATTTAATCAATCACTGCAAACAGTAGAAAAATATTTATTCACAAAGAATATATTTATGATCAATACATAACAAATATTATTAACTATTCAAAGTTCAAACAATATCATAATGGTGTATTCTTAATTAACAGCCTTGCTTGAGCTTACACCCATCACAAAAGAATAAAATTAATAAACAGAACAGAAACAAGACACAATAGCTTGAATACTTTTGTCATCAAACGAAAGACAAATGATACTGAGCAAATAGAAATAATGTATCACAATGTATGCAAATATAACAGACAAAATACACAAACTTATCTTTACTAAATAATACTATGGATTATAATTATCCAAATAACAAACTATTCAGACATACACATAATAATCAAACAAAATACACAAGCATACATACAACCTATTTGAGTATAAACTTGAATAACAATTAGTATAAATGCCAAAAAGAAATAATAACTAAATCAGACAAAGATAATGAATAACATTGAACACATAAGTCTATTAGAACAATACAAAAGTATTGGACAAAACAAAATACATGCATTC